CACTCCATGTATGCCATCTATGCCGATCAATTGGGGTGGTTGACTGGGGGTCATGGGGCGGCATATATGGCAGTCCCATGGAGTGTCTGGGTGTTGTTTAACAAATCCATGTCTTTTCCACTAGGGATTGCTGACAGTGAAACATATCACCCACCCCACAGGGTCGGCCTATGTGTTATGGCCTGAATCTCCGCATCGCCAGTTGACTACGTAAACCTCTGGAACAAAAGATCCTAGTTACAGGCTAATTCATGCACTCCTGAGAATGCTCTGACCTGGTGTGGCTGTTTATGATAAAACCTCTGCTGTCAGCTTTCCCCGCCTGCACTTCGGCAGAGCTCCTGCGCTGCCCCTCCAGCGCAGAATCAGCCTTGCAAGGAACAGGGAAACATCTGTGACTGTAGTGTATCTCTCAAATTGGGGTCCGCTGCAGGACCCCGGAATTGTGATTCTTATCCCAAAGCAGGGACCTTTTACAACGTAATTATCTTAATGTGGGAGATAAAAAATCAAACAAAACCCAAGATCACCTCTCTCACCCAAGATCTGTAGAGACCTGAGACCTTAAGTGAACGAGAACGTTCACCTGACCAAGGTCAGTGCCTGACCGGACCAGCAGCTGATGGAGGATTCTTGGTGCTGAAACGGTTTTTTTTCTGGGCGAAGCTCATCAGGAGCTTAGACAGCAATTCTTGACGTTGACCAGAAACGCACTCCCAAAAAAGAATTCTGACGGTGAGTCAGCATCAACAGAAGAGAATCGGTCAAACTGATGGCATGCTAGCTGGGGTAAATCCCATTACCAGGGCACAGTGGATGATGACGGTTTGTAAAGGACTTCACCAAATAAATCCAACAAGTAATAGATCTTTTTACCATGTGCTTTTCATTTTCTCTCTGAAACAATCATGGAAGTGGAACGCAGGCTACTCGTGGAAGACCATTATTCTCTCTAAGGAGGTCCTGGTCAGCTTCTGTGTTCAGCTTGGAGGGAGGGTAATCCAACTGCAGATTAACATGGACCCCCAAATGGTTGGAGAGGAAAACGGTCTTCCAAGGTTCCAATTCTCAGGTTCCATGTTAGTTTGGAGGGGGTAACCCAACTGCTTCACTCCCCTGTGCCTCCCAATAGCTTCACTCCCCAGTCGCCATGGTCCCAGTCAGCCGCTGGGATCGCTCCGATGGGTCCCTTCAGATGTACTCCTTCTTGTGCCAGGGAGCTCCAGTCCGTTCATCAACATAGACAGTCATAGGCTCCCCAGTGCTTTCCCAAGCACTCCTATAAACCAATCCATGACTTATACTCCTTTGAACCCCCAACTGATCGGTCAACCACCCCCAACTGATCGGTTGGCCTCCTCTTCCGCTTGCGCGCGCGCGTCTCGGAGCTCCGACACGTCGGCCTCCGAGACCGGGCCGGGGGCGGGGAAGCACAGCGGAGCCATGCGAGTGGTACCTTTCTCTGTTCCAGATCACTCTAATGAGTGTTTTTTTTTGTTTACCAAAAAACGTACTGCATATGGCGTCTTGAGGAAAAAGGGTCGGGCAACAGGTCAATGGTCGGGGTTCATGGGATCGTATGAAAAAAAACATGGCCTGGTTGACCACCGCATCTCATCTAGAATGTTTTCTATGCATGTGCTTTACTCAGATGAGTTTGATATAGCTTGATTGAGCTTGTGCATCCTCTTTTTCTCCCACACCTCCCACAGTACAACCAAATGAATTGAAGTGAGCGAGGCACACAATGACAAGGGTGTGAGTTGCAGTGGGTTGTGGCAACGATTTGATGCATTGCACCATCCATTCTTCCCCGTCATAAATACAAATCTTTCTCCCTCTCTCTCTACATTACATCAATTTATCGGTCGCCGGTGTGGCCTTCCGCACTGAGCCAGCTTGGTATGGCTGTGACCACTGGCTACTTATGGTTAAAAAGGAAGGGACAGGCCGACATGCAAAACGGTTGATAACAGTAAGACATCGGCCAAACAGAACATGGCAGGACCTGCAAAACTTCATCATTTTTTTAATGTTCCTGGCAGGAGGTTTCTGAGTCTGTGATGTTTTGTGTGCATTAGTAATTATGGTGCGCGGCTGTATTATCATGTCAAGCTGTGAAAAAATGTCTCACCAAGTCTTGAATCAAACATGTGTAATATATACACCGTTGAAAACTAACATGGACCCCGAAAATCACTCGTTTGTAGAGGAAACTTGTCTTCCACCTCCACCGGTCAATTCTCAAGTTCCATGTTAGTTTCTGGGAGTGCATATATGTATATATATATAATTTATATATATACATCTCTATATATACATACCTACATATACATATATATGTATACTATTATCGTCTGCCTGGCTGGTGGTTTCAACTCACTGAAAAATATCGTGGGGATCAATCATCCCATGTAAAGGTGGAAAGCAAAAATGTCTGAAATAAGCTTGAAATGGCTGGCCAAACCCCCACCACCATCCGCCACCCTCACCTTTCGATGCAGGCTTTCCATGAGCTCCTCCTGCATCTCCGCAGTGCGGCGTTCCAACTGGCGCAAAGCATGGTGCGAAAGGCTTCGAAATCGGCCTTAGAACCGTACAAAGGGGGGGGATTGGGAGAACGTGGGCTGAGTGTTGAGGAGATGACTGGTAAAAAGCACCTGCCGCCATTCAAATTCGTAAGAAAGAAGCAAGCCACTTGCCTCTCGCACGGCATGGCTTTGAGCATGGGCCACGTCGCACAGTGCCTCATCGCGCTGTAGGCTTAGGCAGACTCTACGAGTGAGATCGATCGACGGGATTTTCTGGTCGTTTTTTTTGGCCCAAGGAATCCAATCAGTTTTAAAGGACCATAAAATCGACCAGCTGCAACCGGCCTGGCCCAATCAGTTAAAGGATTAAATCCTTTAAAGTTCCAAAGGATGATTTAAAGGGTGAAGTACTGGTCCGGTGGACCAGCAACCTAGCGAACGCACATGGCACATGCACGGCCTGCTTCATCCGCTCTTCGCACCTGGAAGACCGTTTTGATCACACCCTGCACATCACGCCAATCCTAAGCTCCACAGGTCATGAGAACTAAACCAAAGGCATGTCATGCAGGCATGTTAACACATGGGCTGGAACAAGATCCTAGGAAGAAGAACAGCATTCAACCGTTACAAACACAGCAGCAGCTTTCAGTCACTGATTTTTTTTTCCACATGTTGGATTTTTCGACATGTCCAGGTGGTTAACTCTGTGCTTTTCATGGCCCACCGAGGCGCATGTAAGCCGCCCAGTAGTTGTTCCAGCTGCTGTGGCGGGTCCATGGTACCACCCTTCTTTGGAATGGCAGTGAAGGGCATCGAGGGCTCGCACCCGAGGGCGCCCAAGGATCTCGGTATGTCTCGGTGGGTCATAGATGGTTTGATCAGCTTTGTCCCCAAGGGTCTATCAAGGACAAGGGCTCAGTGGGTGCGATATGCTAGGATTGGCTTGATGCTTGATGCTGCTGGCGCTGGCTCCATGCGGACTGATGGCTCCATCTTTCGCAAAGCACGTTGGTGGCTCGATTCGCTGGCTCGCTTCTTCGGCATCTCCTCACCCTAACTTAGACGGCCTATGCTGGCCTAGTTCTTGCTGGCCCCGCCGAACCACCAACACCATTGGCCTTGAGACACCGCAGCTGCCAAAGGGAAAAAGACTACCCCACTGACGACACCGCCCTGCTCTGCTCAAAACAACTCTGGTGAAAGGAAATTCCAGGATACCCACAACAGTAGTTAGCAGTTCATGGTGTCCACCAAACTATGTTATATAAGTGGGATGAAACTTCACCAGCTCAGTCTCCTATCTGTTTGCAACCTGTTCTGACCGAGGTTCTCCCAATCCAGCACGGCGGCACTGAACTGTTTGCAGCAAACACTCCCTGAAATCATCATAGAAGTGGAGTTCACCACCCGTTTGCAGTTCGAAAACTGCTCCTCCGAACTCGGGGCCTTCGTTCTTCTCCACACTTCCCATGATCAACCACCACGGTTCGCTCGACGAGCCGATCGAACCAGTCGTTTCTCAAATCCTTCCTCCGAGCCTCGCAAATTGGACAAGGGCATTTCTACTAAGAGCGTTCAAACGCAAGTTCTCGGTGGAGGACATTGCTACTAGGAACAAGAAACTAGGAACCAAGGGCATTGATGTACTGTAGTCATGCTGTTTGCTCTTAGCTCCATCATTTTCTTAACCATGCCCACCACCTCAAGTATAACCTACTTATGACACCACTGACCCAAATAGCCAGGCTTTCGAAGTCGGATCTCCGCAGTCCGATCTCAGCAGTTGGAGAAGCAGAAGTCGCTCCAGTCGCTGAAGAAACTCGGGACCTTGACTTGACTTGGATTTTGCAAATGTTGCCATGCAGGAAAACCGTGAGAAACAACTTCCCCCCCAAAGGAGGTTGGCCCAGAGGGAACATCACCGAAGCAGAACCAGGTTTACAGTACTATGCACAGGTCAGCTCCAAGACAGCTGCAGCCCTCAATCTAGGATGTGTGCTCACTGCTTTCATCCACGTATAATTGATCATAATTGAATTAAGCAACTGCCTTCAAGCACGTCCATGGTGGACAAGAAAACCGAAACGCACTGCGAGAAGGGTGTCGCCGTGGCAAGGAGACCAGATTTTGGCCGCACCTAGCCAAGTATTGCAGAAGCTTTGCCAATCTGGAAGCGGCCATCAGATATCGATATCAGGACCAGCAGCCTCTCAAAGGGCTTCCAGTTTCCATCAACACCGCGCTTGAGGCAGCCCCGGCGCTCCTGCTGTGCAGTTGCATCAATGTCCTTGTCAGAAGGCTTCCGAGCCAAGGATCTGATCTTGTGCTCAACCCACTGGTATGTCCTCATGGACTCATCCCACAAGGGCAATGCGCTTCTCATCTTCCCGTTGTGAAACGCCGCCAGGATCTGCAACCGTGTCTGCTGTGAGTTGGTGGCACACGTGCGGCGAAAGTGGCTTGATGTCAACTGCTTCGCTCAGCATAGAGGAACTGCACTGGAACGCCTCCCACGTTGCCCTCACACTGATGTACTTTCCAGTGCTGCTCGGTGAGGGCATTCTGAAGCTCAGCTGCCTGCTCTTGTGGGCAAATCAAAGCTGCGCACCCTTCCGGGTGCAAGACTGCATTCAAAGCTTGGATGAGGAGACTCGAGTCCTCAATTTCTTCGCGGAACCGGACGAATCCCAACCCGTCGCTGCTTGGGGTGTGGAACAAAGTGAAGCGGCAAATGGTCACGTGACAACTGTTGTCACATACTTTCGTGCCTACTAAAGAGCTGCCTACTGCATCTTGCGTCAAAATGCTGACCAAAAACAGCAGAAATACAACAGTTCTAGCAGGAAACATACCACCAACATGAAGTCTTGAAACTGTCCACACCTGGGTTTAACCATCTTTATCCTTTGCCCCCAAACCAGTTCCCAGTGGCAACATGGACATACCTGCGATCCGAACCCTCCAACCGCTCCAGCACCTGCTTTTCGCGGCTTGCAGCTCAAGCCTCGACTCTGCGAAGACTCACGCCAAAAGGCAGCTCGGAGATCACGAGGTCAAAGGCATGGCTAGAACTCTCAAAGCGATGCCTTCTCCACTCCTCAATACTCTTTCTCACGATCTTCACCTGGGCACCGCAGATGGCCCAATAGGGCCAGATATCGAGGGGGGGGGACACCCTCAATCCACACAAGAACATGGCCTCCCCTTCCTCCAGATTCCCCCCATGAGCTAAAAACGCTACATCTCTCTCTCTCTCTCTCTTGGATGATTACAGTACATGTTTGCATTTACATCAATCCACTTTTGAACCAACACCGCTGCCTTTGCTCTTTCCTTCTGTCCAAGAAGTCCTGGAATGAAGTGAGAATTGTTCATAACAAGAGTTAGTAGAGCTGAAAACTTGACCCATTCCGAAATCATTATCCCAGCTGCAAGCCATAGCAATTCCAAGTGGTGACTTTCATGTAGACAATAGGTGCTCAAGTACAATGTTGCAATTTGTATGGTTGCGCGACCTAGCGCAATGCTGCATTTGCTAGTGCAAGCAATTTCTGAATCCATGGAAACATTTCTTGATACATAGAACAAGTTGGGCAAGGGTCATCGCTCCATATGGAAGCCTGCGCCCCTTAAAGCCAGCTTCTTCGTTTTCCATCTCCCATAAGCTGAGTTCTTTTACACCCGGCTTGGCACCATGTCACTTGAGAACCCTCTGCCAGAAGATGTTCAGCTCTAGCCACTGCCAAGTTTGCCTCTGCCAATCTGCAGGCTTTCCCACTCTTGTCCTCAAAGAAACGCGTGAAACCACCCTGTTGGCCCCTGAAGCCGACCCTAAAGGACTGTTGTGGGTTGACTCCACTTGGTTCCTCCCCTCGGAACAAGCTCATTTACATGCCCTCTGTGGGAACATGGTCGAGGCGCTCACCATGCGGTTGCGGTCCGCTTCGGTTGGTTCGCCGGGCGTCCGCGGAGACCACGTGGAGGTCGCGGAACTCACAGGCCGCTTCCAGGGCAATGGTCCCAGAGCCACCGCAGAAGTCCAGGAGCCGCGCACCCGGCGTCAACCGCGCGAAACGAAGCCTAGGTCGACCGACAGCGACGCCGCACGAGGCGTGTCCGTGAGTTGGAGCAAACAATTGCACCCACAGCCCAAGGTGATCATATTGCTCTTCAGGAGGCAAGCACACGTTTTGAATCTAACCCTTCCCCTTCTGGAACTCTGTATCTCAATCCAACAGTACTGATGTGAGGATACATGTGCACCAGAGCCTGCCCTGGACTCGACACAAACATCAATTTCTTTAAGACTAGTGTGTCGAGACTGGAGTGGCCTCCATCCGGATGGAATCGCGGCTTGGCATTGCTTGGCCACCCAGGGGGAGATGAAATCATCAATACAAAAAGTATCACTGAGCTCTTGCCAAAGGCATCAACCGAGCGGTGGAGAAGCGCAGATGCCGTGCATCAGTGGTGTGCCATGGGCGCCGTTCGCTTGGGAGCTTGGATGGGTGCGTTGCGCCCTGGCGTGCGGCACCCAGTTGCGCACACGAGAGCCCCACGGTGATATGGCTGTGATGGATCAGTGACAAGACCTCAATGTCGTAGCCTTACTTGGAGGCAAGTCGGACTCCTGCCGGAGATGTCTGGAAAAAAAGGTGGAAGTGAACTTCCAGCTGTTCATGTTTAGTTGGGATACCAATCCCCCCCAAAAGGTTCAAGGTTATCCTGACTGGGTAGGAATTGGCCATGACTCCTGCTGAAAGTCCAGCTCAAACTACCTAATCTACACCCAAATATGGAAGGTTTATCCCGGGAGGTGCTCCGCAAGACAACTGGGTTTGGCTACCATCCGTAGGGCTTGATCCTTAGTTCTTTAGAATCTTTGAGTAGGGGGAGTGTTGGAATGCTATAGCGCGGCATGCGCGGCATGCTCAGTTCGGGTGCCGATTTGACCACAAACATCTGAGAGGCACTCGATAAACTACAATCTAACTCCCTAACATGTAGGCCTGTTTCTAGAGGAAAAAATGAGGAAAGAAGTTGTTCAGGGGGCCGTTTTCCACTTCCATGGTTCGTGAGTCAGAGCCGAGTATATCGATCTTGGGGATGCCTCACGACCCCCGGCGAGAAAGAACGTGTGACACAGCTTGCCCCGTCAGCAGCTAGGTAGCAGGTCATGTCGGCTTTCCATGGCATGATGCTTCCAACGCCACTTCCAATCGCTACCATTGCTTGCTCCGATGTAAATTGATGTTCACCATCTCCTGTGCGTTTCGGTTGGTTGTCTGATGTGCTTGCTTTGAACATACCCGCGGTGTTGGTCTCCCTTGCCAACAAGCACCAACCGATCAACCCTCCAAAAAAAGCCGCTCAAGCCTCCCAGGAACTCCATGGAGTGAGTTCTTTCCCCTGAGCCTTGGGCCTTCTTGGGCCTTCGGGCGTCGTAATGAACCATGCGACCGACCAGGACTTCAGCGAGGAAAACACGGAACCATGCTGACGTCCCTCCCCAAAATGGCCTAACAAAGGCAAACTAGGACATACTAGGACATGAACCGTGCTGAAGTTGGACTGAATAACATGAACCACGTGCAAACATGACATGTTACGTAACATCAAGAAGATGTTGCGGCTGGTTGCGGCAAGGCACCAAAGTAACTTCCGTCACCAAGTGGGAACTGCTGAATCACTCTGACTACCCTTGGCAAAACATCAAACCAACTATACAAACAAAATTATCTTCTTCAATTCATCGATTGGCATCACGGGTCAACAAATGCAGTAGCCCTCGTACTTGGATGCTACCAAATGAACGAACACAAAACAGGCCTTCCATGTACACTCCATTTTGATCCACTTTGTACGTGCTCAGCGTTTTGATCCACAACAACTCCCTCACACACCACAGCAAATCTGATGAGAGATCTTCACAGCTCCTTCTCTTTCTTCCACTAGGGGTGTTCAAATGTGGCCTGGGGTTGATGCAAGCCTAGGGGTCCTAGGCTCTATGTATGAGCCAGGGCCTAGGGTCACTTGGTAGGTGGGAATGGTTCACAAGAACCAGCGTGATCATTGGGATGTGCTAGATTGATCTAGCGCACTTAGATGTATGACCTAACATTTGTATTTAATTTGTTTTGGAAAGAGCATCTCAGAAGTATGGAGATGCTATACATTTTGGATGTCAATGTTCGAAAATACTAATGTTCAAACATGAGGGTCCTTCACAAACTTTAGGTTTCACCCTCTGCCGAGACCCCCTCTACCCATGGTCCGAGTCTCGTATCACCGAGGCCCGGAAGCGTGGCAGGTCTGGCGCCGTGTCCAGCAGCTGAGCCGCGGTGTCCAACGAGGAGCCCAGTGTGGCCGCCCAGGCCTGTGGTGTCCAACGAGGATGAGTCACGAGGAGGTGGGAGGAAACTCCAATCCACTATGGCCCATATGACAAGGTTTTGGGAGAGAAATTGGTTTGACAGGAAATCGCCAGAAAAAATCGTACATCAGGCATCTATAGGCGGTTTTGTTCTGGATTGGGCGGCTCACTATTGGAATCAACGTTGAATTCTGTCATCAGGTGCGGCAAAGATAGATGGACTTGGGCCGACCGAAACGGTATTCGTTGGTTGGTCAAAAACGGCCCGTGGCGCTGAACTGGCGGGCTCCCAGCAAGCTCCCTCCGATCCGGAGGTAGATCGTCAGGGAACCCATTTTCGCCACACTTGCAGTCCATCCTTCACCAGGGTTGACATGCGAGCCCACTTGAGTACATGGGCTAGCTCCTCCATCTGCTGCGAAGTATCGGCATGTTTCCAAACAGTTACGAGCCCAACCTTCTTGTCGAGAATCAAGGATCGCAGTCTCTGATTGAAGGCATCCTTGTTTGGGATCTTTGCCAGGATGGCAGTGATGTCTTCTTGGCGACTTGCGGTCATGTCTTGCACCCTGAGGCCTTGGAGCGTGTGCTGTCTGCTGAGCAAGGTGGCTTTATTTCGGACCAATAAGCTCTGAGCCATGCCCATGCGCTGAGCTTCGGCCAGTTCAGCCATACACCAGGCTCGGCGGAAGAGCTCCAATGATGCATCTACAGCAACCACCTCTGCGAAAGAAGAATCTCTGCACGCTAGAAAGGACATCATGTCATCAAATTTGTTCATTTCACAAGGAATGCTCTCCCCGTACTGGTTCAATGGTGGCGTGGTGTTGAAGAATTTTGGAGTCCTGCATGAACAAACTGGATGCGGTAGCCTTGTGACAGGATCGACATCTGCACGTGGGTTTGCTCCACATATCCCAGAGTGTTGGTTCACTGCAAATGCACAGATCCAGTAAACGTCCTCTAAGTTTCCTTGCACCTGGAGCATTTGTTCCAAGGCATTGATGCCCACTTGATCCGACAGCAAAGCAGACACAAGCTCAAAGGTGTGCTCTCTTAGGGCATCAGCAACGATACTTGCCAGCAAGTCCCGGAACAGGTTGGACCAATTATGGGTCACCATCTTTCGGGGCATCACAGGTACCTCATTCACGAGCTCTGCATAGGAGCATCCCCTAGCTGAGGTCAGTGGAATAATTGCCAGTCTCACCACATCATTCGTCGTGTGCACATCCGGCTTGTAAGACAACATGATGTCATTCCCCAATCTGCGATAGAAAGCAAGAAGTTCCTGTAAGGATACACCGCGACCCGCCAGTTCCTGAGTCTTCGTTTCCCATTCGGATCCTACAATGGCCCTCTGCGGCCTGACCGTCTTGGCCATTTTTGAGCAGCACTTGGGCAAAGAAGACCAAGATGACGAAGCCGTACTCTCGCGAGAAGACTCCTCTGGCAAAGAAGCACGTTGCCAGAAGCGGTAGGCCCCGGAGAGCAGAAAAACACCGATGGTGTTGATAACAAGGTTCACACTCTGAGCAAGTTGAACACTGCGGAGAGGCAACACTTTCTGCCGCGAAACGTCATGCTTCAACATCGTGGGTCCTGCAAAGGCTGCAACGCCTGTGATGATGCAAGTGGTGACGAGGCTGATCACCAAGCCAAAACCTTGGAGCAATGCCGCTCGCCGGCTCCTGCGGAAAGCCTTACACTCCAAGGAGACGCTCTGCGCCATCTGCTGCGCTTGATGGAAAATGGACAGCACACGGCACAAGGTAACAAAAACAAGAATCATCCAAATGATAAAGCAACATGGCACCAAAAGAACTAGCGCTCCAGCGGCCAAGCTTGCAAGAATAGACCCCAAGTGGTATAAACGATGTACTACTTCAACCGTCGACGTTAGAGGCCAAAGTGTCAGCAAGGCAAACTCTGCCCAAAGAATCCTCTTCAGCCACATTCCAAATCGTGGTTGGTTGAGTGCCGGCCATATGCTTTGGAGACGGTTTTGGATCAACATCTGCAGAATCACGACTTCGCAAACCTGCAAAAAGACTCTGAGATTCACAAGCGTTCCAACGGTCATAATATCAGCCCCATCCTCCTCCTGGTAAAACTGAGTTCTTTCATCATCATAGTACTCCCTGACCGCAATGATGAGGCTGATGGAGGCTAATCCCTCGATCCAGTTGAGAACCAAAAAGCGCGAGGCTTGAAGGAGGTGTGGTGTTGAGGCATGGCACCAAAGCCACAAAGCTCCAGAAGCCGCAACAGCAGTAGAAACCAGAAGGATGCATAGGCTTATGTCTGCATAGTCAGTCGCCACATCAATGTCACACATTACACTTTGGACAGCTTTGCAGGAGCCGAGGAGGAGAGCTCCAAAACTACTTAGCACAATAATGAGGATCGCTCCCAAAACTTTCAAGCATCTGTACAACGACACTGGGTCAAGCTTGAAATCCTTAAAACTTCTGCTGACTTCAGTGGAGTAGCTGGAGGTCAACATATTGCTATAACAAACGTCTCCGAGCCACCGTCACCAGACTCGCTGGCGAATCATGTCAGCCGCCAAAAGTCTTGAGCCATCCTTCTTGGCAACGTGACATGCACTCGGAGTCACTCACATGGAAGTGGACAATGGGCCTTTGGAAGACCATTTTCCTTTACAAACAGGCGGTTTTCCACTTCCATGTTAGTGTGTCGGAGGGTATCACCTTGGCATCTCTTCTGTGAACCCGAATCGGGCTCAGGACGGCATGTCCTGGTGCAATGTTGAATCAGTTCTTGATTCGCAATGACCGGCCACTCCCCCATCTTCCCTTCTGCCCCAAAAAGACTTTAAACTCTAAAGATTTCAACATCTTGCTTTCCAACCCCCGCGCCGTCGAACAAAAACGACGTCGACTGCCTCCAGGTCCTGGAGCGCGAGGCTCGTGTCCGTGTCGTGCCAAGCGCTAGCAGCCACGAAGGCATAGCTTTGGATGATACCCGGGAGTTCCACTCCCAAAGGCAGGCGCTCTGAACCACCTCCGAAAAGGGAGCGTTCGCGGCGCGAAAAAGGGACGAAGGGGACAGGGTTCGTCAGGGTTCGTCTATAGGGCGCTGGTGTGAGAGAACTTCCCAGACACGACACATGGGACTGCCATAGGACTGCCGATCAATTGGAGTGGTTTGGGGGCCAATGGGGCGGCATATATTGCAGTCCCATGGAGTGTCTGGGATTGGTGGTCGGAGGACGAGTGGAGGGGAACGTGCGGCTGCGAGTGAAAACCGGGGAACCATGGGGAACCCTCGTTGACCAACACGGAAAATGAACCACTTACAGGAGGCCAACCTACCAGGTTTTTCCACGGGCGAAAGGGGTAACTTGGCCCGCTCGAGCCACAAGTGTGGAGGAACCATACCAGCATCGAGGAACGCATTTAGGAGATCGTTAAACCAGCTTTTTCAGTTCGTGACCCCTTTGGAGATCTTTTACAGGCCTAGGAGAAGTGTCGTTGGACCCCTGTGGAGTGTCGTTGACCCCTTTGGAGTGCCTAGGCCATCCAGTGACCTTTTACAGGCCCACTTCAAGTGACCTCGGGATATCACCTCTTCAGGTCACTTCTTTAGGGCGTTGGACTCGTCAGTCATCCATCACCCACGTTCCCGGACCTATCCCATGCGGTTTGACCGGGAAGAACTGGGGTGTGGATGGGTGTTGGACCTGAGTGGAAGCATGGAATGATGAGCGTCATGCCGGCACAGTTTGAGTTTGGAGGGACTTGATGATCACAAGCTGAAGAATCTTCAACTTGGGTGTTAGAATGCGGAGTCAACACCCACGGGGGTCAATCCCGCCAAAACACCTTTGGTTTGGGGATGGGTCAATTCTTGGACAATCTTGGACATCTTGGACTCCATGGGTGCTTTATCAAGCACACAAGCTGATCAGCTGATGAAATGGATCCTGAGGCCAGGCCCATCTTATGCAAGACTGTTACGACATCCCCGGAAAGCAGCCTGCCACCAGCACATAGGAAAAAGTACTTCAACTTCAAATGAACGTTCCTCTCCAAACGACTACCAAGCATTCTGGAGTAGAAAACACCCCAATGAACCAATCCAACACACGCTCGACCAGTTTCGTGGATGTCTCCACATTCGGACTCCACTCCAGGGCTCTGCCGGACAATTCGATGTTTGACAAAGGGTTTTTGCAGCAGTTTGTCCAGGACAGATGGTTTAGTTTATGTTCAATTATAGGTAGGTAGTTGCTAGTCTTCCAGGAGTTTACCATTCCAATCCTGAAGGCTTTGACATCCCGATCTCCAGAACAATCACCATCGCGATCTAGGAAATGGTGAAAAAGTAGTCAAGAAGCAACACTTGTAATTCCAAAGAGCTTAGGAATATACAAGACAGTATATACATAAACTAATTAACTATATATTAAATATGTCCCGCCATCCTGCATGCAAACCAACCCCCATCCCCTGTTCCCCTTCATCTCGGTCCCAAGGACTCATCAAGAGCCGTCCCACATTCGCATGGCCGCTCCCTGCGCCAGGGCCACGAAACCGGTGCGGTGGCTGCGGTGGATCCAAACGAGGCCACGGGTGCGATGTTCTTTGACACCCTGGTGGCTCTCTCTCCCATGGACCTAACACGTACACCAGGTCGGTCAAGGAAAACCCATCACACCCACGGGGGGCCAGACAGGAAAAAGGGTCGGATTGTGAGTTGACTCGGGAGTGTATTCACCAGTATGGTGAGTGAGTTGGATGGGTTGATCTTCCCTGATGGAGAACCCTTTAGTGAACCCTTTATCAGGTGTTACCTGAATTGTTCAACCTTCATAGGGCTTTGTCTTTTGGTTGATCAGCAGTCCACGTCACCGAACTGGCTTGGAAGAGAGGTTCTGACACGTTTACAAACAAATCATGACAAAATGCACCATGAATGCTTCCAAAACGAGCTATGTGACGCAAACATGATGGAAACGCAGGCGAATGGGAAGTGCTTTGTGTGAGGGATGCTTGCGTAGGACTTATGGTGCCAAACATGTAATATTCAACACGTCATCACACACAAACATCATATCATACGCCCAACAGCATCCAAAAGCGTTGATTGAAAGGTGTTGAAGTTGATTTGATTTCGTCAACACTCTCCAATTGGAAGGACCTGGAACGTCTATTTCATCAAGGAAGAATCTTCCGGTCTTTGCCAAAACTCGATGCCAAGGCACTGCCATTCATTGGGTCTTCCAAGCGCTTAAAGCGGAGGCCACCAGCAAGCTCCTCTGAATGGCAGCTCCAAACATCTACAGCTGAAGGACCAAGCACCAGGAGAGCGACGAACGAAGGCTGCACCATCCCCCATGTCAACCACGAGAGTAGCACTGGAGATTTCTCGAACATTAGCAGTAGCAGTTGCAAAAACAGTTGAACAAAAGGGTCTCAAGTGGTGCTCTTTATAAAGTCCGGTGCTGTCAACGCTAGACCTCTCACTTGTGCATACAAATCAAAAGCGCTCCAAAGCGAGGGCGCACGCGCCCGAAAACGCACGCGCCTGGCGAACCAAGTCCTCAGCTTCGCTCTCTAAGCCCTTGGTGCAAAGCAGCAAGTAAGGCCATTGCACCCCAGTGCACCCACCACTCACGCCATTCAGCGCACGAAGAAACTTCCTTCGGCGGGCGGCGGCGGTGGCGGTGTTGGGCGGTTGGCATCATCAAAGGGTGAAAGAAAGGACCCTTTCGCCGTGGCAGGGAGCAAAGCAAAAAAGCAGGTCTTTCTTTCTTTCTGTCTGTCTCTCTCTCTAAAGGATTCGATATTTTTGTTGCAACTCACCTGGCAGGTGGGGAAAAGAACATCCAAAAGCTTTCAAAAGCTGTCTCACCACCTCCGTGCCCACAAAGCCAAGCACATCTCTCTCGCCCAAACTCGATGCCCACGGCACGACTCGAGAAAAGCTCCGCCAGCCGTCCAGCCGTCGTGCGAGCCGTCACCGGTCCCTTATGTTTTTTCTCACGTGCCATGTAACAGAAAATGGAGTCTTCTGACAGAGTCCCAAGAGTGTACGGGTGAAGAAGACAGGTGATATTCTTAGATATTCTTCCTTTGTGGTTCGAAACGTGCCCCGTCTCAGTGGAGTTGAAGACGATTCCAAAACACACCCAAATCAACAAACCTGTTTGCGCCGCGTGTCGGCCGCCTTGTTTGTGCGCACCTGCGCCCCGCCGGCGCCAGCGAGGTCAGCGCCCGCCCAAGCTGGGTCACGGGGCAAAGGCCCAGGCAGGCCAAAGCCAAATACTTCATGCAGCTGCGATGGACACGGGAAACCATGGGAACCGTACAATGCTATATGACCTTCCAAAGCTTCCCATAACGATAGGAGGAAGAATATAGGGCCTCTACTGCAAATAATGATTTGAAATGGTTTGAATAAATAGGATGCTCTCATACTTAATTACAGTACTCGCATGGGTTTTCCATTTTTGCCCCCTGCTGACCAATCCTTTGAAATCAGGCTTCAAAAGCTGCAATCAGCTGAGTTTGGCCAAGGACGCGCCCAGGACGCGCCCGGATGCAGACCCGACTTTTGGCTGCTGTGCTCATGTCACGTGTCCCTGCTTTTGCAGGTCCAATTGTCTTGAAACAGAAAAGGAGTGGTCCAGAGCAGGAACTGGAAAAGGGCCCAAAGAGTCTAAGAGGTTGCACAGAAAGCCTATAAGCATCTTTTCTTTTTAAGATCACCAATCATCTTGGAGGCACCAGTCTCACGGCCTTCTCCGGAAACCTAAACAAGCCGGAGAATCACGGCGGAGTCTCCCGCGGCCATTCGTGAGATCTTTGGAGCATCTCTAGAGACTCGTCCAGGCCGCGATTCTCAAGGATTGCAATAACGTGCCTCGTCCAAGCAAGCTCAGGCGTGCCAAGTCCGCATGCTGCTCTGAGTTGCCCCGCCTGAAGCCCGCAAAAAAACAACAGAGTCGATGACACACCCAGGGATTTCTTCACGCGGTGAGCCAACTCGGTCCACTCTGGAAAGGAAGCAACTTCACGCTTAAAATGACAGGGTTACAGTCATCCCGAGTACAATTTAAAAAATGGACCCCAATTTAACACAAAGATACAAAAAGTAATATCAGGACCCCCTAAATTCGGTTTATATGCATTTTTAAATTCCACCATGACACTTGACACGCCGCGTTTACACCAGCAGGTTTTCCTTCCCCGGACTCACGCAAATGCCACCTCCGTTTCGGTTCGGTGGTTGGGGTAGGTGCCAGGGGGGTCGAATTCCACCGAACCTGAGGATATAGTTGGAGCCCGAACGGGAAGAATCAGTATTCTAATAAAGGTCCGAAGGGTCTGTTTGTCGCGCGTTCTCGGTCGTCTCAGATGAGTCGGCCACCCATCGGCCACCCATAAGGCGGCATCAAAAGCTCAGCTCCTCCTCTCAGATGTTCATATGATATATGGCTTATGGCTTCATATGATGTTTCATCATGATTCATATGCTTGTACATGCTGTCATAGTTTGATTCATAAGTCTCTTCCATGTTTTCATGTGTGTCCCATCCAGCGGGTGTTCGTACCGTCATCGACTCTTGGAATTCGGTGGCACCGATGTTCAATATGTGACCCTAGGGATCCAGTCGTACCTTGTCAGAACGTGATTGGAGACTATTTATGTAGGCGCCTGGGTCAGGCCCAGTCGTACCGAACCTGAGGTAAGGTGGCAGTGGATCCCTAGGGTGATATAGTGATCCCCAAAGAGAACAAGTGGCACGGTGTCCAGTACATCTCCTACGTGGGGATCGACGTTTTATATCTTTTTCTATCTATTCGGGGGTCCTGGTTCCAGGGTCATGAAAAAATGGGGGCCTGGTTTATATTATTGTTATTTTATATGTATATATATATATACACACCCAACTTCAGGATGGACGCTCTGTGCAGCCAGTGCGGGTCAAACGGTCATGCAAACATCCTACTGGCAGAACATGGGACCTGGGACCTGAACCATCTTAAACCCTCTCTGCCCGACTCTGCCCTGGCATGTGAGTCACTGGTCTCCAAGAAAAAGCTCATGCTCGCTCCTACTCGCATTTTGGGAGACAACAGTTGTTTCCCTAAAGAAGCGCGTCCATCCCTCTGGCTCGCACCAGCTAGTCACAGTTCCCTCCTCCTCTTGAAAAAGGGCCACCCATGGCGACCCATGGTTGATCGTCCCTTTTTTCATCCATCCATTCTTTCACAAGCCACGACTTGAGCAGTTTCCTTGATCCAGCGTCTGACTTCACTTCGCCGGCACCGATGGGCTCGGGCAGGAGCCGCGAACGCAGGGCCGGAAGAAAACCAGCAGCATATTGCATTGCGAAGGTACTAAGGCAAAACAACACGACCAATGATTGGAATCCCCAAGTCAGTAGTCGTAACCTCTCCAACAAGCCCACGAATTATAAGTCGAATCCTTGTCAACATCCCCTTCATCTCCACTGGAGAAGCCAGGAACTGTCATGAAAGGCTTCTTTCCATCCTCCCCCGCTCCTCGCTCAACCCCCCGCGCCAGCCAGCCTCAATACATGCCTCAATACATGTTCCACGGCCCATAGCCCATTGGCATCACCCCCTGGCGGAGAGGACACGTTTGTCAAAGAGACAACAGGCCCGTAGCCAAACGAACGTGCCTTTGACTTCATGTACGACAAAACACCATGTTTGACTTCATACAGTAAGAGGTATACATACAGTAAGTAATACAGTAAATGTATATACATACATTGTTTGACTTCATCATTCTCAAAAGTATACACAGTAATCGATTCATGGCATCATTGACATTAAGCTTGCCACATCATGACCGTATAATCAAATACAGGTGGTGGTATGAATCAACGACCAAATTGACCTAAGACCTCATTACCCAAACAGCCCTATCGTTGAAGAGCGAAACCATGACTGCTGTCCGTTACAGTCGTGGTTTCCGCTTTCTCCCAGCCAGAAGCAATGGACACACATGTCACATGAATGCAGGCACCAGTTTGCCCGAAAAGGACCCTCCCCCCCAAAACAAGAGGAGCGGAAAGCGTGATGGACCAAACCGTTGACCACATGAAACATTCTGGGGGCACCCAGTTACTGGCTTAAACTACTAGTAACAAGGGCACCGCTGCTAGTAACTAGTAGCCCTCGTTACTAGTAGCAATGCGAGGGCACCCAGTCACTGGCTTAAATGCGGAGCCAAATCTCATTTGAGATCATCCCAGTGCGCATCAATCAGCCGTCCAATCAAACAGGTCGGTGGCACGAAGCGTGCCATGGCATCCAAATCAGCTGGATCCCAAGGCTCCTTGGTGTGTGAAGCCAAGCAGCTTAGTTACACGAAGCATTCGCACCCTGCAACACTACCTGGATATAGGCTGTTGGGCCACATCAGGATTGCAGCAATAAGCTGAGAAGGTCTCAGTTGTTGAAGATCCTTAAGGCCTCAATCCCACAGTGCCAAAGGTTTCTCGGTATTTTGGTGATGTTGGTCTTCCAGCAAGTCGTCTGAATCTAGAACTGCAAACAAGCATCATTGCAGGGCCATTGTAGATCTGGATCGGGATCCTGCAGCGGCCGCTGCAGCAGCAGGTCTCGGTACCTACCAACCGAGACTCAACCTGCCCGGACTTGGGTCTCTTAAACCAATTGATTTCCCTGCCAACAACTTTGATCGACTGGATGTCCAGGTCGTGCTATGTATCAAATTTGGTTTGGCTGCCCCTCCTCCATTCAATCTCCAATAATACACTCATAGATTGGAAGTTGGTGGCTGAATTGATAATCATTTTCTTTTAAACTATGCTTTACTGGATCTACGATCGGTGATCTACTGATGCTCTTGGCGTGCAGTTGTTTTTTTCAGGTTGCGAACTGGCAAACCGTAGCCACTGTAGCCTTCATGGATCTTTGCTCATGTGTGAAACAGCGTCCTAGCCTTTTGGCTAGGTCACGTGTCTATCATTCTCGGCGCAAAGAAGCATTGATCCAACATTTCCATGGCACAGGCACTCTGTCCAAACCAACAAAATTCAATACATAGTACATCAAAGTATACTGTACGTTTGCAAATCATCTTTCCATCATTTCTTTGGCCAACAATCACCTGTCTCGCTAAGCCAATCTCTCTCCAAGCCGTGCAGCCTGTCGCCGATTATTCAACACCTCCTCTAAGCCGAATCTTCGGTTTCTGAGAGTGCTGGGCTTGGATCAGGTGGAAAAACCCCGTCGTTCAGGTCATCATCATCACTCTCACAGAGTGCACGCAGGGCCTGGCAGGAGCAACTGATCTGCAACTGTTTCAACTGACCTGATGGCCAAGGCTTGGGTATCCAGCTCTCCCCACGAGCCCTGCCCAAAGGACAGGAAGGCAAGAGCAGCTGGCGACGACATGGTCCTTCCGTCATAGTGCTCATTTGTCGGAGTTCTGCTGCACTGGAAACAGGACTGATATTATGATGCAGCACCTATGCAACCTGCCTGTTTAGCATATCTTTGAGATTGTCCCACCAAAACCGTGCGACATCATGGATGGTAGCTGAAAGCAAACAAAAAGGTTCATAGACCAACAAAATACAACTATATATATATATGTATATATATAGTGCCATTTGCATCCATTTGCCTATATCTCGAAACAACGAGACTCATGTTTCCCTTCATGTCAGCACCATGGGTGCTTGGGCAACTTTGCCTTTCCGCTGCCACGCCTCCCGCAAAGATTCGTTGACCTTCGATCTGTCCTGCTCTTCTGCCTGCAGCCAACGGGCGGTATGAAAGTTATGCCTTAACTTTTGTAGCCACTGTGCCAATGGATGTAAGGAGACATAGTATGATGTCGCCATATTTTTCCTGAATATACCAACGAGGTCTTCCACTCACTGCAAGTTGAAGTGTGCCTATGATCACATATGATCACAATATGTAGGTCCTACACCGGGCCAATTGCATAACACATAAGACCAGGTCTGATGCTAGATGAGGAAGGCTCACGTAAATACAGGCCAATAGTTTTAACCTTGCAACATTTAAATTGAGGGCAAATGCGGAACTCACAGAACTTAGAATTTGTCATCCCTAAAACCGCCCCACCGTCATGCAAACTGGCTGAGCACTGGGAGGGTCACCATTACAACATATGACAAACAAACCAACAAAAATCAAGAACATGCAAACGGAGATTCATGTTTCACATTGTCTCACTATGTGGTGCCCAATTTGGAGACTCATGTAACATCGGTGAACAAAAACGATCCTGATTCCTCATGCCCGCCGGAATTCCCACTTCCTCCAGATGCTCCGGCCGTTCTGCCTTGGGTGCCTTGCTTTCGTGGATCTTCTCGAGCCGTGCCAGCAAATGCCGTTCGGCAGCTCTGCCTTTGAGGAAAAACATCGAACAAACTCTTCCGAGGAGAAACCGGGAACCCCCTCCGCCCCCCCGAAAAATACAGGAGACGTTGCACTTACATATGCATTAGTTACTTTATCACCGCCCCCTTGCAGGGGGGGGGGACCTCTTAATGTGTAACTTACATTTTGTTTGGGGGGGTAAACATGTAAGCTGACCCCCCTCCAGGCAAAAATCGGTATTACGTTGAGGGGGGGTCCCCCCCAGGAATTCCTACGGAATCTCTAGAACTACACTCAACGGCGGTTCCCCCCCCCCCAAGATTTGGCGTTGTACGGGAGAATATCCAGGTAAGATTCATAACATTCCCAGGAATGACTGAGACAATAAGCATACAACGGTACCAAAAAACAGATGGGGGGGGGAGGGGGGACGCCAAAATGTAACATACATTTTCTGAGGCCCCCCCCACTTCAAATCCTATAATTTGAGGGGGGGGTGATCAAATGTAACTTTGAAAAGGAGAGAGATAGAAGAACAGGCACGTGTCCATGGATTCATTCTCCAGTAGAGTAGAAGAGAAACAAAAAAAAAGTAAAGGATGATATGCACACATGTATCCAAGCATAATTCACGCTTATCGTGATTACATGATAACCTCCAAAAATAAAAGCTACATTTTTGGACGCCCCTAAACCGGTGGTATGCACCTAGAAATTGAATGAAATTGAAAGGCAACATATGGAACCTACAGAACTAGAGATGCATATGGGAAAAACAGTCAATAAATGTCCATGCAAGGCCCCTACGATCGAATGGTAACTGAGAAGGAAGCAGCATATAAAGAAAGACACCAGCCGTTCAATGCAGTAGCAGATTCTCACAAGCGGCAGGCTGTTTCATCTGCTTCACATCATCAGCTTACATGCATTCAGTGCACATATCTCCCAGCCTGAATAAATGTAATTTACATGTTCTTACAAAATGTAAGCTGAAGAAAGGGGAGGCTCCCATGTTGGCTCATATGCATACATGAAAAGTGTAATATTACAATTTTAAGGTGCGCCCTCGGTCTACCTTAAACATGTAATATTACATTTTTAAGGTCAAAACTCAAAACCATAGGAAAATGTAAGTTACACATTAGGAGGTCCCCCCCCCCAGTTTTGAGGGTTAGGGGGGGTGATGTTACTTTACTTCGGGTGATCCCCACCCTGAAAGGCGATTTATGCGGATTGACAGGGTGTTCTGACGCTTGTTCCGGCATCAAATCCGCTTATTGTCTATCATACTAATACAGGCTGGGAAACGTCCTGGGCTGTGCTCTGATCTCTGACATGTTTCCTGTCTGACATGTGCTGTGACACATGTTCTGACATGTAATTCCGGCATTTGTTCTGCCAACAAGATATCCTGGCTTTCTATCTTGCATAAAATCAGGCATATACTCTGAGTTCTATCTGGCAAAAAGCTGCTGGCGTTCTATCTGCCACTGGCATCATCTGGCATTCTATCTGGCACATACTCTGGCCCTCTCTCTACCAGGTACTCTCTGGCATTCTATCTGGCCCTATCTGGGATATATTCTGACCTTCTATCTGGCATAAATTTTTGACATTCTATCCGGCAAGGTCCGGCGGTGCCCGGTGCGATCTGGAGCTAACCGTTGAGGTCCGGCAGTGCCCACTGCGATCTGGAGCTGGCAGTTGAGGTGCGGTAGTCAAGAAAACGAGAGAAGAGGAGAAAAGGAAGGAGAAAAGCTCTGATCAAATCTAACAACCCTCACCTGGCAGGTGGGGCAAAAAAAACCTTGGAAGAGGCCCACATGGAACCTGAAAACCACTGGTGAACGTGGAGGAAGCTAGTCTAGTCTTCCTTGTAGGTCCATGTCATCGGGTTCCGTGTGAAATCTTTCCGAGTGTAAATCCGTCAAAGCCACCTACACTAGACCTCTCTCCATTTCCCTCCAGGGAACAGGGAACGATTATCCTTCGAAACGGGTGGCCCATCCATCGATCCTGTCAGCCAAGTCTTCCCAGAAAGTCAGATACCGTTTAGAGGTGCCATCCCCTGCACATGAAGAAAATGGCACTCCAGTCAACCCACGGGTCTGGACGTATGGACCTTGGTCTGACCATGAATGGACCTCGACATCAGACCTTCTCGCTCAGCTGTGATCCGGTCCCAGGGGAATTCTCAGGTTCCAGTGGCCGAAGGAGCTCTGCACGCGCTTGGCCAACTCGAAGGGTGGCACCTTGGGTCTGATGCTGCGGGGCTCCGACAACTTGCTGAAGTACCTGAAGCAGCAGGCAGTGTCTGAAGCAGCAGGCAGTGTCTGAAGCAGGCAAGGCGCCCAGTGGATGATGATGGTTAGATATGGCTAGGTTGCAGGCCTGTCTCTGAAAGAGTGATAATTGCCGCTGTAATTGCTTACCGGCTGTTGCACTGGTTTAGGGCAAACCAAAAACATCCCGAATCATCACATATCCCACTTCGTCTTCGTCTACAACTAAGGGAGCCATCAACATCCATCAACGGAACGGAATCTGAGATCCTTTAAAAACGCACTCTATTATTTAATATCTTCCCCAGCAAATCGCATGGTTTCATATTGATCTGGAGGGTATTTTTCTCGGACCGTGAGCTAGTTGAAAGCAACAACCCTGCAATTACTCGTGTCAATATGGTGCGTCTGAACATACTTGAAAATCTCTTATTACCCGTCTTGTAGGGAAGAATTCTGCTTATTGATCCGCTTTCTACCCTTACATCACTTCCTTTGGAGTGAGTTGCAGGTCCGCCGCGAAACTTTGTCGAAGATTCGGCCCCAAACCTGGATTCCTATTACAATGTGCATCATATGGCATAAGTATGTTGAATAACTCGTGTCCTCTGTCTGCGACCAGGTATACCTGGCTTTATAGAGGCATTCAATGAAAAAAAGGATGGATCTAGTCCCCTGTCTAATTACACTGATCTCACTGGAACTTCTACAGGTTCCAAACGTTCCAACATGAAGTTGCACGCTTTTCTGGGCACGTTTTTTTCATTCAAGCCGTGTGGCACATCATAGAAGTCCAAGTTGCTCCTTTTGTTCCTCGACGGAGCGAACAGGCTTCAGTCCTCGGAACAGGCTTCAGCCGTTGAACGAACACCATTGGAATGCTATGAATGATTCGGGCAAGTGTTCGATCTCAGGGGGTTCCATGACCAGACACATGAGTCCTAGCACAAGACCCGGTGCACTGGTGGATTGCAGCGGTTTTTGGCCCAGCGGTACTCAACACGGTCGGGCCTCCAGGCTGTGTGTTGCCCCATGACAGGTGAAAAATAAGTAGTCGAACTCAACCAACCCTCCCAACCCTGTGATGTTCTCATTTTTCTCGAGTTCGAGATGAAACAAGAAGCTGGTGCAAATGACTAAAGCACACATAAAAACAATTGAAAATGTAATAGCTGCAAAGAAACTAGCATGTTTAGCAATGAGTGAATCAGGTGCAGGAGCATATGTTAGAAAAACAAAAGGCAAAAACAAGATTAGATCCCAAAACGAGTGCTTGTATATTATATATATATGTTTAAGCAGGTGATGCAGGCTTTTCGGACATTCAAATTGTCAAAGAACACCTCCAAATGTAGTCAGTGGCGAAACTGGGTGCAGCCCGTTTAGCACTTGAACTTGCATCTGTACCAGCAAATCGAAGCAGCCCAGAGTCAGAACCACCTCCTGCACTGACTTAAAACACTCCCAACTCACATCTGTGTAACGATCTTGGGTCTTTTCTCACTGTGCTGGTCCAAATATGCCCCAATCCGAACACAACAAGTAAGTAACGAGGTCAGCATGTAACGAGGCGTGCTGGTTGGTGCACACGCCAAGAACGAGTGCAGGATTTCGTCCATCAACGGCATTGTGACAGAACCCAATGAAGACCTTTTGGAAAAAAAGCAGTTCATTTGCCTACTGGCCTACTGTTCACTTGTGGGTATCCCCTCTATAAAACCACCAAGCACTAGTAAAAGCCCATGAAAAGAGCCTCAAACCGAGTGGCTGCTCCATGTTTTCTCTTCCGGCTCTTCAGCTTTAGTGCTTTGGGTTTCAATGAACTGGCGAGCTTGTGATTCAGCTCCAGTGTGCGGAACAACCTGCTCCTGAGCGTCTTGCGTGCCATTTTGCGCCCGTCACGCACGTCCGACTCACGAAGGACACGAGAACGAAGGACGTCACCAAACACGAAGGTCACACGGACGTGTCTTCGGCTAATTGCTGTCAGTTCATGTCTCTAAGGTTCAACCCTGGAAGCCATGGAAACCAACACAGCGTGGGCGGAATCGCTCAATGCGTCCGTGCCTGAGCTTACCGCGTTGGTTCGACCTAGCCAATTCCGTCCATCCTCCAAGGTCTCTCGGCTTTCCAAGTGCCAAGGGCCTATGAGTTGAGCCATAGGTGTATCAACCGCTCCAGGCAGTCGCCGGTGACATGTCCCTAAGCTTCCAACCATGGTCCTTGACGACGAGAGAGGCCGAACAACCAGTGTTTTACATGGTTTTGACTAAAGAATTGCATACTACATTACACCAGGTCAACCAGTTTGGACCTGAATCCAACCAGTTTAGAGTGAAAGCGGATGAAAGCGGGGTGTTTGGTCTTCGCGATCTCAACCTCGCTCCACCTCGCGGTTGGGTTTCGCCATGCGACTGGCGGCTTCACCGGCACCGCTTCACCTTCTCGTCGATGCTCCTGACGGGCTTCAGCGTCGACGGTGAAGCGCCAGCGGACGGTGAAGCGTCGGCTGTACAAGCTTCATCCCCCTTGTGGAGGTCTCTGAGGTCACCAGGATCCCCATTTCATAAGGACCTGTGCAAGGGGGATCAAGCTTGCGACTGTCAAGAACTTTACTTTTTTCTTCGGGGGGGGGAAGGCGGGACTGGGTGCAAGAAAAGCTAGATGTTTGTAGACATAGGACATCATAGGACCGTAGGACCGTAGGACCGTAGGACAACGTAAGGCCAGTCCTCCCAAGAATTGATGGCCCTTCCTCACGTGAAATTGTATAGAAACATATTATAGAAACAACTAGTGGCCACCAATCTTGCCATAGTGTTCCCAATTGTCCACTTCCAGGATCTTCCTTTGACATTTGCTTCTTTCTGGGAGTGCCTCAGAATCCACTTCCGCACCCGCCTCGATCCAAGCCATCTGGAACGGCAGCTTGGCACTCAGGAACTTGGGCGCGGCCAAACGTTCGATCGCAGCCGCCTTCCGATCCCGTATCCGCTTCTTCCGCTGCTCCCGCTCCCGCTGCTGCGCCGCCAGCGAGGAGGAGGATGCACCCCGCAGCAGTGGAGCAGGGTGTGCGGTGTCCGTGGGAGGGCTCACATCGGTCCTGGCGAAGGCTTCGAGCGGGTTTCTGATGGTGCAGGTGCCAAAAGGCTAAGGAGATGAGATCATCTATAAACGCTGTAATTCAATATGAACGAAAGGACCATGAACGAAAGGACCTGACATGTTAAACCTGTGCAAATCCGGAACACCAAAAATCAGTTTAGATAAAGGTGTTCCTATGTTTTCATCGGATCATCTTGGGTTGACTCCATATATCTGCCAGGTTCCAGTCATAAAATTTGGGGGTACCAAGGCGAATTCGCCCATGATGTACTTTAGAGCAAAGCCTCTTTTGGAGGATCTTGCAGGGTGGGACACATTGTAATTGTAAGCTCTGTGAGCTGCACCATGCATGTGCTGCATGTGTGTAATCATCCGCTGCGCCTCCTCAAATGGCAATCCCACTCCAGCAATTCGAAGACTGAAGCACGCAACAGTCAACAGTCTGTCTACGTATATACCTTATTATATCAAGCCTTCCGCTCTACAACGGCCCCTTTCTGTTTTTTCTTTTAAACAGTTTGTCTACCCAGAAGGCCCTAAGCCTAAGCGACACCAACACTCGCCATGGATTTTCAGCCCGTGCCCTGTTCCTGGTGAAGGCTTCCCCTTCAACTCGACCCCTTCACGTGCGCGGAAAACCAGTGAGTGCCCATCCCCAAACCGGAAACCAGTGCCCAGGATCGAAACCAGACCTGGGAAAAACAATAACTGGGCCGTTGATCTTTGGATGTTCCCTTTAATAAGGCGAGTTATACTATTCATAACTCATTAACTGTTTACCAAAATACTCCTCTAATAAGAGGATTTACCCAAAGGGAACATTAAAAACATACCGCCTTATTAAACTCGCCTATTATATATATATATATATACTGTCATTATATAGATCCCGAGTAAGCGAAAACATCCCCAGTAAAGATGAATGGAACGCCGGTTCTATGAATCTTTGGGGACTCACCTGATCCACAAAACCACATCGAAACCGGATTCGAACGTGGCCAACCGAGAAGAACGTGATGCGAAAGGAGCACTCAAAGTGGCCAGCATGTTGTTTTACAGTAGTCTTTTCTGCAAAAGGAGAATTGAATGGTCCATATGGTTCCAATATGGTTCCAATTGCAAATTGTTCGTTGATTGATGTTGATGAGTTGTTACAAAACATGTTATCGCTCCATTTGGGTCCGCGATCTGACGTCTCCCTCACCTGACTTGTCTCTCCACCGAGCGATCTGCACTTGCAGGATTGCCAGGACCCGAGCCGCTCGGTTCCAAGATGATGGTGTCCTCAGGTCGTCCAACCACTGAAATCTTCGTCGAAAAAGACTATTTAGGTGAGTTCCTTCAATCGGATTCCACAGTCAGTCGTGCTCATGGAGACGGGTGTTCATGGGTTCTTGATGCAGCAAAGGGTCCAGCAAGGGCTTTACCGAGTTTCATAAGGCTAGATAGGGAGGCCGCAAGAGCATTGTGAGGATGCAAAAGAAACGAAGAGCATCTTCTAATTCAGGAGCATCTGGGTTTCATACTGATTCTCTCCGTATACGTCTTTGGTTCGTGTTTAGCTAAGGGTTGTTTGGCATATGCGCTTAAGCCTTAAGCCATCCATTTCGGTGATCCTCAAATCCTTGGAGCACCGAGACCATCACCCACCGACCACTGAATACGCCGACCATACACCGACCGATTCAGCGCCCGAGAACCGAGGTCACGACGATGGTCGTCTGACCGAAATGGCGCTCGGGGGCCCTTTTTTTCCGCGAAGCAACACGCGGAAAGGAACATGCACGAGTAGAAATGCATGCATGTAATTAATTCACATGTTCCAAATGATACGGATTCGGGCAAACACATGACAGCACTCCACTGTAGTTGTTCTGATGTGTCATGTTGCTTCTGCATCATTAAGGCGCCCGGCACCCTTCCTTTGCTAGGGTGTTTTGCATTCAAAGGCCTTTGCGGCACAAAATGGCACAACCAACAAAAAGTGACTGCCCTGACAGACCCAACTGGTTGTGAATGTTATATACTGCACAAATTCTAATACCCAAACACGACCAATGGGACTGCCAGTCCGGACTGCCGAGAAACGGCCAGGGGTGTTGTTTGGGGGGGTCAATGTATAGGCATATATGGCAGTCCCATGAAGTGTCTGGGATATGGTGTCACTGGATTATAGGGGTGTGCATAGAGAGACCGGGAGACCTCAGTTCGATCTGTTGGGAGGTTCCCAGTGTTGAACCCTCTTTCGATCAATTGATGTGGAGACTTCATCTCTTCATGAGAGATCAAAAAAAACATATGTTCAGGAGGAATCCAAAAGACTAGATTCACCAGGAGTTAGGGTTTGAGAAAAGGAGGGAACATTTAATTTCAATAGGATCAGGGATTCGTTAAATGAATGTTGAATGAAAGAGGAAGAAAAGGGACTGAGACATAAGGTAGGATACCAGATAGGAAATTGCCCGAAGACGTGCGGCCACATTAAATTAGCAGATGTTCTTAGTCCTGGGTTCACAATGTTCACGGTTAATGTGGTTTCAGACGCAATCCCGACCCCCACTTGTGTGTCAGACCATCGGTTTTTGCCGTCAATAGGGGGGACTCGACCGTCTCGCGAGCGTCGATCAGCGTCGAGACGCTCTCACATGCCGCAGGTTTAGGCGTCGCAAAGCAGCAAAGAGCCTGAGCCGTCTCGGGGAATGGCATTCTGAAGGGCCGTCGGCATGTGCTTCAAGCAAAGCGTCGGCAAAAGTAGCCTGTTTTGAAGCTCCGAGCTCGTTTTATATTGTATACGACATTATACATCTTTTTATTTAGATTGTGATGCGGATCTTGGGACTCTATCGAATTCAACCATACATGGGTGAGGTTCAAAGCATGGGTAAATAATGGGAGTTCGAGGTTACTCCCTGGAACTATCAGATTATCATGGAAGGGGAAAAACCCTGTTGGTAGAGGAAAATAGTCTTCCAAGGGGCAATGCCATCGACTTCCATGTTAGTCCTGGTTCCGTGGATGGGTTCCCATGGAAAAAAAAGATCACTCACAAAAGCTCCAAAAGTGCAACCTTTAGCGCTACTTGGCTCGGGATCCCAAGCAACAAATGAAAAACAAAGGGTCCTAGAAGTACCGGCCTTTCATATGGAGATTCCACCCACACTCCCCGGAACAATCATGGAAGCGGAAGGCATGGCGATTTGGATGACCTTCTTTCTCTACGTTTAAAGGTGTGGCGAACTCTTCCATAAATACTCCAGGGAGTGTAAATGGTTGACATCCATGTTGCCAACCTACAGGAACCCCACACTCACATGGAGGAAGGATGAGGGTCCTGATCCCGTACAAACCACGTGGCCACGCTGTGTCCACAAAAAAAGACCTCACTCGCCAATAATGCTTGTGTTCATCCAACGATCTGCAGCCCAAAGTGCTTGGGATGCTGACACGCCATGACTTCGATCCGAGGCAGGCAATTTGGCCCCTGTGACGCCTTCATGCCCAGACCGCGCAGCACGAAGTAGACCGCTTCGGATGAACCTTCCAGGCGGACGTCCGATAAGGCCGCGATGTACTTGTTGTCCTGAGCCGGTGGGTGCTGTTTCAGCACATCAGGACTAACCCCTACGTGAAGACTGACCTGACAGAGTTAGATGTTGAAGACCAAGTCGCAGCTGCACCTTCAAGTTGCAGCACCTTGAAGTTGCAGCTGCAACTTTGAATGCTCAACCATTCGTTGAAACCATGCCGCATGGGGCATTCTATATGAGTTGTCTGCTGGGATCGATCAAGTCTTGTCGACTAAGCTGGAAAAGGGGAAAGCACCGCAACGAGGACCTCAGAACGAACACTTGGGGGGATCTCTCCACTGGACAGCTTTGGGTAAGGGTGGGGTGGGGCTAACAGCCTGTGTGGTGGATTGTCACAGGTCGCAACTTGGGCAAATTCCATCGCAAACACATCGGATGTAACTAGTATAGTGATCCCCAAACAGATAGTGGCACGGTTTCCAATACATTTTAGTGGGCATCTGCTTTTCTATCTATTTGGCGTGACAACGACGTGGTGATTAATGATGTCAAGGATTGTCAAGGTGTTTGTGTTTGTGTGTATTTCATTAATTATGTTGTTGTTGTTGTTGCTGTTGTCGTTGTTGTTGGTGGTGCTGGTGGCGGCCCACAAATTAACAGCACTGCAGGAGCACATAAGACTCTAAGAAAGACGCTAGAAAGAAAGCCAAGGAAGCCAGCAACCAAGAAAGCGTTTGGAAGAAATCATCCCTTAAGAGTTGAGTTCTCAAAGCTCCCGATGTCATGTGGCCTCGAACCCGTGCGATGTTCCCATGCCGTGGGGGAGAGTCAGAGGACCCCCGCGCCGGACGGAGGGGCCCGGAGCTGGTTTAGACGCACCCCTGTGTCAAAATTGGGTAGATCATGGTAATCATGATAGATCCCAGCACCAGTACCAGTGGATTCTTTCCGCTTTCCTTCGACTCGTGGGACTGGTATTGAATAAGGCCTGTGCGTACTAGCGTACTAGCAGGCCAATTGGCTACGAACAACAGCGGATGATGACGTTTAGTCTATAGTGAAAGTCTAGTGAATGATGATGGGCTAATTACGCCCTAATTAGTTTCCATATGGCTGTGAGTCAATATTAGGAGCCCGAACCCTTGGTATAGGTTGACCTCCCAGGTGGTCTATTCAGTTCATTGTCCGTGGTCAACCCGGGGCCCCCCTTTGAAATAGCACCCACAGCCACATCAGCATGGCCCTGCCGCCCTGAGGACTTCAGCCGAAGCCTCGGCATTCTTCAAAGCTTTCCGTGGATCTGCTTCTCCCATGGCGGCACTGAGCTACACGCGCCCGAGCTGCACTGAGCCGACCAAAAGCAGCGACCAGGAAGAAATCGGGGGAATGCAGGTGGAACAATTACTTTCCAAAAAATGATGCTACACAAGAATTATTACCAGGATCATCCTGTCTGGGTCTCCAGACAGGGCACCCATTGGAAGTGCTATTATTGGGTGCCTTATCTTTTCAACAGGTGGACACAAAAACATTCTTTCACTCAGGATGTGCTTGACGAACTGATGATGAGTCAGTTGATCGCCCGAGTTTCATGCAGCAATCCCACCATGGACGAGGCAAGTAAGTCTTGACTTTGGGAACGCAATGAGATGAGGCCGGACGCACCAGCTTGAAATGGTCCATTTATGTACATATACAGCAGTAAGCACCACGAGAAAAAACAAACAGATGATGAAACGCACTTCTGCTTGCACACAAGCCGTCTTGAAGTTGGAACCCTGAGGATCACCAATGAAAAACGAATCTCAACCGCTTGTCCGGCCATGAACAGCGGTTCGGTCCTGGGGTGAACACCCTTCAATCGTCCAACCGGGGAATCCGTGAGTCAGAGGAAAAAACCAAGACCGGAAAAAAGTACCAGTCTAGAACAGACATGAAAAAGAAAAAATCAAACAATCCCCAATACATTGCTTCTAACACACTGTTCTGCCTCTCGGGGACCTTAGGCATCGTCCACCATCCTCCCGTTCGTTTGCGGCGCCCCCGACCCGAGGTTCGCCCTCCAAAGCATGGTAACGATCGCCTGCGTTCGTGCGGACGTTCGCTCCGTGATGATGCGGCGGAATCCGAGATACGAAGAAAATCCATGCCCTAGACACTCCATGTATGCCATATATGTCTACATTGGGGTGGTTTGAGAGGTCAATGTAGGCATATATGGCATACATGGAGTGTCTGGGTGCGGAATCGGGATCAACATCAGGAGCAGTTCTGAACTATAGTAGCGATGCCCGGAAGCTCCTGAACTATAGTAGCGATGCCTGGAAGCTCCTTCTTCGTAGCGATGCCCGGAAGTTCCTAGTGGTTTTTATGAACACATATAGGAAAACCTCACATGATATTATATCTATGGTTTATTGGGGTCTGGTCTCTTGGGTCTTCTGCTTCTTCTACAGGGCCTTCAAGGCTTTCTTACGGCACCTTCCAGTTGCGCCCAGCCTTCCACATGCAAACACCAACACTTGGCGCGTCAGCAACAAGCCGCGTCAGGGTAAAACCGGTTTAAACTGGCTCATGCGGGAAGAAACCCTTCCTCAATCCATGGTGACCTACGTTGAAGACTCCCTGGTGGGCATGGGAAGCACGTGGAGTAGAATGTCTCGATTTGGTGATGAACATAAAACATAACAAGCAACACGGGAATGCGGGATGCAGGATGATGCAGGATGCCACCAAATGAACACATGTGAAAGCACAATGAAGCACAATGAAGCACATCTGTTTCGCCAAGATCCCCGCTGGCTCGCGGCTCAAAGACGGAGCGTGCACGTGGTCCAGCAATCCCCCTCGGTTGGTTCGACTGCTTCGAGTGGGTCGAACTCAGCGTGCATCACCCAGTCGAGTGGGTCGATGGTCCATCACCACCGCGCGAAGAAGGCAGTTCTCTACGAAGTGGAGAAGATATCAAAATCACTTCACATACTGAAAGGCCTGACTTTAAAAAACACCTCTCTTAAATAAAACCTTGAGCACCCTCAATCAAACCCAAAGAAGTTGCTGGCAAAGCTTTGAGAAAAACATTGATTTATCTAGCTGAAGGCTTGCTCAAATCCCTTGACTCCTGTCATGATGCTTTTGATGTTGATGTTGGAGCCATCTGACGCTTGGGGCGTGGGCGCAATATATAAGTCTACCCTACTCGATCGGGAAATCGGGGTCGAACTGAACCCCAATGGAAACCTCTACAAACTGGACCTCTGGGACCTGATTGTCTGTAGCTTACGAATATAGCCTAGCCACCTGATACTCCACCTGATGCCTACAACATTTACAAAAGGAAACTGAGTCCCCTCATCAGGTGGCGTTTTCCGCCTCGACTTCCGGGCTTTTCGACCCCGGTTTCCCGGTTTCCCGGAGTCTCCCGACCACCTCCCCCGGTTGCCCGGACTTTCCCGAGCGAGACACGTGACCGGTACGTCGCGTCGGTCGTCACGGCCACGAGGTGCGGGATCGGTACCTGGCACAGCTCCGATCCCGGCGCCGATGATGAGGACATGGGAACTACATCTATCTCTCCGGTTTGGAAGTGAAGTGGAGTGAAACCACCTGCGCAGGGTCTGACCAGATGTCATGTTTTTCGTGCGAAATCGGGGCCATCCCTGACAGTGTACTTCTCATCAAGGTACACAAATGTTGATGGTGGTACCAGGCACGAAACTCCTGGCGTGACCGCAGGGGCTCAATGTAGACTGCTCACAAATAGAACACCCGTCTCCAAGAATGGTTTTACCATGTTTTATATCTCCATGTGGTTGAATGTATTGAACCACCAGCGCACCAGTCTACATTACCTCCATTCATCAGATTAAAACGCACAATCGATGCAAATCATCACCCTTGCTCACGGCTACCGAGCAGGAGGGACCTTCACCAAGCCGAAGTGAAGATGAGCCAGGACATCCTCTGGTCTTTAGTGTTATGACTGACCAAACATGTAACAGCAAATCGTATAAACCATAACCAAACCAAAAAAAACACATATTTGACATACATATACATACATGCTTCTGTCACACCTAGGCCAGTCTTAACTTTAGTGTAAAGGATGTAGAGTTGAGGGGTCGCCTCATCTGGCAACTCACTGAGAATCAGCTCGTGAAATTGCAGTTTCCCCATGAGTGGCCTTACCCTCCAACTGGCCCATGGAAGTGGAGTTCACCGATGAGTTCACCCATACTGCTTGTAGACATCATCTTTCCAGGGACCATGCCATCCACTTGTTGGAGAGGGAGTGCAAATCGTTGTTTGTGTTCCTCCAATTGTTCATGCCAAGTGAAAGAGCGTGGACGTGGCTCTCCCCAAGAAACGCGGCGCTTTCCAACGAAAGGCCCACTGTACTGGAGGCTTGAACGACCCCGTTTGTTGGGGTGTCCATGAACGACCCCCCCCCTGGTGTGCCATTCATATCTTCTTCACCTGATTGTTGACCACGCCAAGTGCGCGGGGGCGCCCAGCCTCGTCGGTTGCTGTCAGACCTTCGAGCGCGAGGTGAGCTGGTGCCACATCATGTCGTGGCTAAGCTGGATGGCCAATCTGTGAGCCAATCCGATGTGGGGTGGATGCATCCAGGAAAGACATGGACATCTTATATAGTTGGATGAATCGAATCCAAATATGTTCAGTACCAAGACTACTAGATCTGAGCGGAGCTTTCAGCTGTCTCAGGTTTGTTGGTCACTCGAATTGATCACTTTCAGAAAGTCGTTGACATCGCCATGGATGGGGAAATGTGCCAATCCATGTGGCAAAACCATCGATGCTTTGGCAAAACAACACCAGCGACGTCGATGCTTCCAAGTCACCGCGTGGCGCCTGCAGGGCCGAGCACTGGTTGAAACAAAAGGGGGAATTGCAAGGCGTACTGAGTACTGCAAGCTACGTTAATTGAGACCATGGGTAGTTTGTTGTTCTTAAATGTGAATGGCTCATTGCTTGGGAACATGCCAAGAAGCACGTGGCTCAATTTTCTTGGATGACCGTCTGCACAAATTGCATGTTGCTCACTTCAGTAGATTGAGTATCATTAAGATTCATTAAATTAGACTTTCTTCTGATGTAGGCCTCCTGCAGCACTCTCTTGAAGTCTTTCCAGTTTTTCAGTCCAGCCTTCCTTTGAAGTACCATCACCTCGCTGACCCTTGCAACCCTGCGCAACCCTGCCTAGATCCATGCTGAGCGGGCCACCTCCCAAGGAGAGCCAAAAGTCTCGAAAGCTGTTGGCAGTGGACCTTGGCCAAGAGCTGCCGCTCCTCGCTCTCTCAAACAGTGAAGGGACCCGGTCGCCTCCATTCGCGGTGGCCCGAGACACCGACTCCGACCGAGACATCGAATCCCAGTCGCCCCGGTCGTTGTCACGGCCCGTCGTTGGCGACGGAGGCGAGGAGTAGTCCGGAGGCCTCCTGCTTTCATGGCCTCTGAAGAGAGCCATTCAGAAGATCAAAGAAGCAAAGTCTCGGGACTCGCGACCTTAGAATGTCTATACTTTGCCGATGACCTTTTGAATGCTACCATCTCCTACAGTACCCAGTGCCAGGTGCCAGTTCTTCGAAGCAGATCTTCTTTTTCTACCAGGCCTATGACAGCAACCGCTTCGGCCACAGGTGGGTTTCCGAAGCGTCTCCGCGGCCGAGACCCGATCTTCAGAAGGACCGTTCAAATGCTGAAGTTGTTTCACCTTCTCTCCATGCAACGGGTGCAAATGGCAGCCCTGCTTCAAGCAAATGTTCAACTAGTCACACTGATATTGTACTCAAAATTGTGGATGCTTCGGAGGTCATTTGCCTGAATGGGAAACTGTACACAACTTGAAACAGTTACGGCAATCTTCAACGCATTTCTCGAGACTCATCCTCGAGAAAATGCATTGCAACAAAACATACAAAAACTCGCACCAGCTAGTCCAAGCCCACTTGTTCTCGGTA